ATTGTATCGATTTTACCCTCTGAGGTAAATAAGAAAAACACATTTAAAATCTAAATTTAATGCATTATTTCCTTATAATTGAATTTCTTAATTTAAATTTTGAATTCTTTCCTTGATAATATTTACCTAATATATGCATAAAATACAATTTAATCCATGAAAAGTAAAGACCCACATATTATACCAATCAATCAGACAAACACCCACATGAATTTATGTACCTGACATATAGGTAAATAATGTTATTATTAGCAATGAAAAAAACGTAGTGATAAATCGTGTTACCTATAAGTTAGGAGCCTAAATTAAAATACTGCATATAAGTTAGGAATATAAATTAGAAGACTACCAATAAGGTAGATACAAAAATAAACAAATAAAAATTGTATGTTACCTATAAAAAAAAAAAGTACATAAAATACTATTATTGTTGAAAATACGAAAAAACACATATATATACCTATGCAATAGGCAATAGAACAATATACCTATACTATAGGATTTCTACTATATATATCTACAAGAGTATGTAATATACCTATACCATAGGGTGAATAAAAATAAAAATTGTTACCTATAACTCATGTACTAAACGATGTGTTTGCAAACTGATCTGGTTTTTCCTTGCATGCTTCAAATGATCTGGTTTTCCTTACATGCTTCGATTGGAAACCGCATAAATGCGTAGGTAGTTGTTTTAGAGGGAAATGCTGTTTTGGATAATTATTGATCCTTCTAGCTGCAAGTAGATCGAGTTGTCTCTCTCTCTCTCAAGTGGAACCCTTTGTGTCTTACAATATAAATTTAGCAAATGAATGTCATCATCCATCACTACCTCTCTTTGATCTGCTCTTGCGTGTGATGTATGTTTCCGTGTGCATACAGAGGTACTAAAAGTTCCACAATCAAATGCTTTGGTCGACAATGTATAATAGTTTGTAACAATGTAATTTTTGGGATATGTTTGCGATTTTTTTCCTTTTCTATTCAATGACAAATGTTATAAATGGCTAATTATTATCACATAAATTACTATTATTCGATTCAAAGCATAAGGGGCAACATTGGAACAGAAAATGATTTTAAAAAATTAAAAATAAAAAGATTACATCATAAAAGATTAAAAAAGGAATGTAATCCTATGTGGCACAAAAGTCAAAGAACTTGTATCAAAGTCACCAATTAAGCACATGATTTGTCTTATAATCATATATTTCATTAATTCAAATAATCTTATTAATTCATATTCATGCATTTAGCTCGTGTATGCATACATGAATATAAAATAAACTTCCATTGGAAGAGAAAGTGAAAGTGACAATGTTACTATGTTAGTGGTTATAAGTTTACGAACATATTTATGATATTGAGACTAAATATGATACTATCAATTGTCGAATTAAATATGGTAATCAAGTAATTATCGAATTCCCTAGTCAATTAACTTTTTAGAAATATGGAGTAAGGTTTTCTATCGAAGTGGTGATGTTCATGAACTTATGTTTTGATAAACTTCTTAATGGATTAGATTCGATTAGATTGTCATTTATAGACACTGGCGGATCCATTGAGGGACGAGTGCATGCACTTGCCCTCACTCAATATATGGGATACACTCATTAAATTGCCCAGCTGGTTTGTTGTTTCCTTGAAGCATGGGGCAAACAAAGCCTGCAAGGTATTCCACTAAATGCCCCAAAGAGGAGGTTGAGCATGTTCTAATGGGGGCAAAATGTTTGATAAAAGTCCTTCGAGAGAACATGGAGGGACGAAGTTGTGATGGCAGTTGAGCTTAAGTCTGTTAGGTTCCGTTCCGTAACGTTTTAAGGGATTGTTTTCATTTTCAGAGAACAAGAATGAGGCAAAAACACGTTCGGTGGCCCAAAAACAGAAAACACTGAGAATGTTTTCATAAAATGAAAACAAGTTCATATGTACTTGTAGAAAACAGAAAAAAAGTTGTTTTCATTATCATGGGAAATATTTTCATAAAAATAACTCACATATTATTATTTCAAATTGTACTACCAGACAAGTTTTCATTGTTTTTGTTTTCTAATTAATCTACCAGACGCATTTTCATTTTCTGAAAATGCAAATTCATTTTCTTGTTTTTATTCTCTGAAAATATTATAAGAAAACATTCTCCGAAAACGTTATCAGACGGACCCTTAGTGATTTGAACTTCTACATTTTTCCTCCAATGCCAAAAGTTTCTGGATCCACCACTGTCCACGTACAGATGCCAAGTCTTTGCTCTCACATCAGGTTGCTCACACATACTTCAATTAAAGACATTAAGTGGAGATGTAGAGAGTAGAAGATCCCAGGCCAATTTCCTATTTTTCCTATTTCATATCTTCATAATTGTTATAGTAATATTACACAGATGTGAACATGTTTTTTCTTCTAATAATTGCGGAACGAGAAATCGAACTTATTAGAATCTTTCTCCATATAAACAAGATCTTATTGTTGCACAGCAGGCAGTAGCATATGTGATATAATTTATTGAAATCTTCGTACAAGGGGGCATGGCAAACACTTTTTCCGCTTTAGTTTCCATCACCCAACCACCACACCTTATTTGATATGTGAGAATTATTGCTGGAGAATTCTAGAACAATCACCATTTAAGATCCATGACTTTTTTGTGTGTATTTTTTAATACAAGCAAAGCGATACTGAAAAAAGAAAGAACGAAACTTAAAATTTCGAGTGTAGAGTAAATGCTCTTAATCATTTTGAGCTACAGACAGAAACCTATACACAGTTGGATTGGAACCCACATGAGCATGGCCCCCCCACGCCAAACCCCACAAGCTTCAACTTTCCAAAATCTACTAAGTTTGTGGAGGAAAGTAATATGCTCCTACACAACAACGACACCAAAAAAAAAAAACTTTGGGAGTTAAATATTCTACAAGTGAGGCATCCTGCATGGCATGAGCTTAATTAGGATCTGTCACCAGCGCCACACACACTCATGGCTTGTTTCTTTCTTCATATATAATCAACGGCATTCATATGCGCCACATGTGACATATGCCGCGCTCGTCTCCATTTTTTGCATGTAATGTGTGTTTCTTGTGTGGCCATTTCATTTTTATAGTCACACCCCATCCTTTTGTGTTTTTTTAGTTATTTATTCACGAGTTCTATTTTTTTCAACCTTTTACTAAGCCAATATAGTGGCGGACGTTTTAGCTCAAAAAGAACATATTTTTGTGGATATGTGTATTTGGTTTGAGATTTTCCTACGAAAATGTTATGTAGGATGTATTTTGATTCGTATGAGTTAGGATTTTCTTCTGCGAGTACTTTTTGAATGGAAGGATTCAATTGGTCCAAATGGGCTACTATACAAACAATGTAGTAGGCCCATGTAGAAAGAACACAAGTCCTAACCACATAAGTTGAACCCAAACAATAATAGAAAAAGCCCAATAAATTAGAAACCCCAAATTGTATGTTGAAGAATATGAAATTCCGCATCGGAAATTTGATCAATTAAAACCTAATATATAATGAATAGTTTCACTATTAATAGCATTAATGACTTTGTGAGTTTTTATCAAAAATAGCCAAAATTTGGCCCGTATTTTCATAAATGTCAATTTTTATAAAAACTTTCAAATATAGTAGAAAAGTCACATGAATAGACTTAAGTACCCTTAAATCTAAAACTCACAAAAACCTTAAAACCAAAACAAGCGTTCAAGGAACACTCATGATCTGTAGCGTGTATTCCCAAAGTTCAATTTTTATTATGTATTGCTACGTTTTCTATTTATTTTTTATAATTATTATAAAAATGTGAGATATATTGATAACGAAACAAAATTGCAGAAGATCTTCCACTAAAACATCATTGAAAATATGCTGTTGAGTATTCTAGCAAGACTTAACTAACTTCCGTCTGTTACAATAGCAACATGCAAACCATCATCCGTCCAAAAGCCCATCTATTTTCAACAAGATGAAGGACTGCTTGAATCACACCCCTCTCATCCCCTTCTATCACACACCATTAAATCTTTATATCTTGGATCAGTGCATGTATAAAACCATTAAATTTTGAGGTAAAAATTTATTTTTACTTGAATATTTGTTTACAATATCCAAAGATATTCACTATAACTTTACATCTTCCAAATTTTCTCAATGTTAGAGGTATGTATGCAGAATGAAAAAAATCAACAAACTGATCTAAATGAAATTATAAATTATATATTCTCAAAGTTTCATCTAATAGGGTTTAGGTCTACGTGGGTTTTGTTTTGAGGGCATTTTAGTCTATTCAAGTGGGTTTTTGGCTAGTATTGGGTTGCATGTATGTTTCTTTGTCATTGAATAGGGATGGTAATGGTGCGTTTAGGGTATTGCATTATTGATTTCAGGGTGAGACCCACATATTTTTTTATTATTTCTTATGTGTTAATAAACATTAGCCTCTCTGCACGTGCTTCCGTGTTTGAGAGAGATTTTTTTTTAAAATTTAAATTTATTTTAGAATTAAAAAAGATAATGAGTATTTGTGTTTTATAAAAATAGGATATATTATCTGATTTTTAAATTTTTTTAAAAAATATGAATTTATCATATTATTCTTATTTAATTAATAATTTCAATTTTTAATAGTTGTACTAATAAAGAGTATTTTTTGATATTTTGAATGTTTTATTTTGCTTTACCTGAAAGAAGTTAATGATAAAATAATTCATTTTTTCTCATACCTATTTCTAACACGTTAGAATTCGAACTCCTCAATTAATAATCTTTAATAAATATCACGTAATTTATCGGAAAATGCATAATAACGAGGGGTCCACAGGAATCACTTTGCTCACGCCTTTTGTGGCTTCTGGCGCCATTTACTATATATCCTCTACACTCAAACGGCACCATTTCACCACCAATCCACCACTAAAAATGTACCACGTCCGTATATGAAATTGACCCAGTCATAATGTCCGAAGGCTATTGGTTCCTGCACAAAATGTAAATAGACTTGTGCGGAGCAGCGCAGGTGATCATGAGCGTCGAAACTAACCACCGGAGTCTAAGCCAAGTCAAAAAAAATTTGAAAGCAGTGCAGTTTTTGGACACCGCTCAGATCTATTGAGAGAGACGCACACTTGAGAGACTGCTCCGAAACCAAAACCAAATCTCTCTCTCTCTCTCTCTCTGCGAGATTGAAGAAAGCTCTGCCTTTGACAATGCCAGCCACTGACGCAGACTTCGATCTCAGAGTACTATTCTTCTAAACCCTAACAATGCACTTCCGTTTTTCTCTGTAATTTTCTCACATTACCTCTCTCCGTTTTGTTGCAGCCGTCTCCTCAGTCCGCCTTCGCAATCGGGTCAGTTTCCCTCCTCCATTTCTAGGTTTTTTTTTTTTTTTTTACATATGCGTTTGGGCATTGTGTTTATGTGAATGTATATGTATGTGTGTATGAGTGTGTTGATGTCTAGGTTTTTTGATTTTGTGCTTCAGAGAGTACGCATTTGCCGATGTCGGGAATTTAGAGCATTGTATTAAGTATTTGAATCAGACCCTTGTTACCTTTGGATTCCCGGCTTCACTTGATCTCTTTGCAAATGATCCGGTCAGTTTGCTTCAGAAAAATTCAATTTTTTTTTGTTTTTGATACATGTATTTATTTAGATTTATCTGATGCAATTGGTAGGTTTCTGTTGCTCGGACTTGCAATTGTATGTATTCGTTAATTCAGCAGAGACAACGCGATGTTGAATTTCGAGAGTCTGCTAACGAACAGAGACAGCGGTATGATTCTCTCCAGGACTAATGCGTTATGTGTTTGGACTTGGATCTCTGAATTAGTAAATTTGGGCGGAAAGTGTATAAATTTTTTTCCTTTCTGTTTTCATAGGGGTTTTATACCCATTTTGGGTTAATTTAGTGTTATGCATGTATTTGATTGAGCACATTGTCATTAAGTTTATGTTTGTCCACTTTGTATGGACTTTTAGTTTACTGAAAAGTTTTGGAATTTCAGTATTCAGAATGATACCGGTGGTCTTTTTTCTTTAATTTTTCTTTTTCACTATATAGGCTATTGTCAGACATATCAAGATTAGAAGCTAAAGTTGAGAGGCTTGAGGGGCAGTTACAAGCCAAAGATAGGGAGATAGCAACAATAACACGAACGGTTAGAAACTTGCAATCTTGCAAAAGTGACTTCATATTGGTTTCGTATTTTTATTCATTATTTTGGAACTTATCTATGATTAGGAAGCTAAAGCTACAGCAGCTTTTAAGTCCCAAATTGACAAACTACAGCAGGAGCGCGATGAGTTTCAGAGGATGGTCATCGGCAATCAGGTTGGGACATTTGAATTTAATGCAGTTTCTTTGCTGAATTTTGGTAGCTACTACGTGAAAATGGACAAATCCTGACAAGTATCAATGATCTGCTGATGCTACCAAAGCAAGTTAGGACTCAACAAATGCATGAGATGAAGAAAAAAGAAAAGGAGTACATAAAGTTGCAGGTACTATATTTTCTACATGTATTCATATATTGTGAGGAGAATATGTTGGTTACTTATGTTCACAGATTAGAATTTTATAACGTGACTGATTACATAGGTGGATGAGATTTTAGATTTTGAAAGAAAGAGTCATATCATTTTAATTTCAGGAGAGGCTAAATCAAGTGTTGATGGAGAAAAAGAAGGAATCTAGATCAGGCATGGAGATAATGAATTTACTTCAGGTATTAATTGGCTGACTTACTTAAATGACCTACAGAACTTCAAATTCATCCACCTAATTTTACTTTCTTTCTCCCTTAATATTACGTGCAAACAGAAAGAAGGGCGGCAGCGTGGAACATGGAACGGAAAGAAGGCTGATAATGAATTTTATAAAAAGATTGTATGTAGCTTGATTGGCTTATTTATCTTTTTACAGCCACTTCATGTCTGATTTTTGCCTTTACATTATTCGCAGGTGGATACTTATGAGGCAAAAAATCAAGAATTGATTGCAGAGAATGCTGATTTAAAGGCATTATTGCGATCAATGCAGGTAATGTTAATCATTATCGAAGTGCTGCCGTTATTGTCAATTTTGTGGGTTCATGACTCCCAATTTTCACTAGGGTTACGTAGCTTTCTGTGGCAGTATCTTGAAGCACGTTTGTTGATTGCGATGACATCTTTTTCTTCCTGTTTTTCTAATAGTAATTTGACTGGTGTATTTTATTTTGCTATTTCATTGCAAAGACTTATTGAACATATGAGTTCTTGGCTTTCAGTCACATCAATAACCTAAATGGATCAACTTTGTCTAATATTCCTGTCCCAGTGGGTGAGGGTTGAATCAAAAATTTTGCTAGAAACTTTTTGGTTATGTTGAAGCAAAACTCTTTGAGCTGTCTACATCAGAATAAAGATAAAGAGAGTAATTTCCTGTACTTGAGTTTGGCAGCAGAAGTCCTACAGTGGGTGAGGGTTGAATAAAAAATTTTGCTAGAAACTTTTTGGTTATGTTGAAGCAAAACTCTTTGAGCTGTCTACATCAGAATAAAGATAAAGAGAGTAATTTCCTGTACTTGAGTTTGGCAGCAGAAGTCCTACATAGGGTTAAGGGAGCTGGGATTTATTTTCATTTTGTTTGTTGTATCTGCTGTCCTAATTTACGTCGGGATGATGTTAAGTTTTTTTACTGGACACGCTATTTTATCCCCTTTCTGCGTGAGGATTATGGATCAGTAACTCATTGCATAATCTTACTACACTCTATTATAAGAAGTTTACTTGCTACCTTTCTTGGGAACAAGCATGAGTTCAGGATCCTTTAGTGTATGTATGTGTTCACATTTCTATGTTAATTGTGTTTGTTAATGTTTAATTTTATAAGTTGAAGGACACACGTGCATAATTGCCCTCTTTATGTCTCTTGTCTCATCTGTAATCTGTGTATATGGGAAACAATATCCTGGATATTGGGCACTATGGAATTGAAACATTATGTACCTCCATTGGGTCCCATGGGTGTTGTACCTATTTGTTTTCTTCCCAGAAAAATTAGCAGCCTTTAACTTTGCTGTCCTCTTCTTCATCTCTTCATCATGTTCGTTCATACATTTTTAATTCCTATTCCCCTGCTCTGTCTTTAATGCGTAATTTTTTCTTTGGCCCCTGTTTACTTTTCACTCTGTCTATCCTACTGCATGACAACAGCTTTCGAAAGAACCGTCAGTTGCTCTATTGTTGCTCACATTTTGTGACACCCGTTTATGATTCCTTTCTGTCTTTTTCTTTTTGTTCTCTATATACTGATGCGTCAGTTTTCATGTTTCACTATAATGAGAAGTCCGTAATTTGTTGTATGTCATGTCCACCTTATAATTTATCCATACTAGAAAATATGTCATGCTTGTGCTTTGATTTGGAACAATATCCTGTAATCTTGATAATACTAATAAATTCTGTAAGTTGGAAACTAAGTTTTTAGAACTCGTGTTTTCTTAGTTTTTGGGCATTATCCTCGTGTTGTGTAGATCTGCATTGGATGACATCATAATCTGCAGATTCTTTTGTGCTAGGAGTTCAACTTCTGCATTTTGTGTAGATTCTGATGGTGCTGCTTATGTGCATGTTAAGCAGTACTCTAGTCAGCATCTAGGAATTCCTCCCCTTGCACCTCCCCCTTATCCAATGTCTTTACTCCACCAGATTAATTTATTGTTATTTTTACTTCTTGTCATATTTGTGGTGAGAATTCTTCAGTTTTATTTTTCTTTGCATATCAATGGGTTGTAAGTTATACTGGAATGGTTTCTGTACAGGTGGATATGCGTGATTTCATAAATGCTCCAAATGGGCAATCCAAGCAGTCTCTGGCTGCCAATGAACGAGTTGAAACTGACCACACACAGTCTCCATTGGGCGGGAGGACGGTATGACATTCTCTATGTTATGTATGGGTGAAATTTTTCATTCGTTCAAAAGCTATTTGAATCACCGAGTTTGCTCCTTGCAGGATGTCTTTGATCTGCCTTTTCACATGGCGAGAGATCAAATAGAAGAAAGTCTCCGAAATAAGATGGCTTCCATAAAGGTAGTTTGTTTTCCGTTTACACATGTTCCTCATGTGAATCTTGCAAAATATGAGCTATTGATGGGTTTCGTTTCTTATGTAACAAACTTGAAGGAGCGCATGGTTCAATTGCAAGATGCACAAAAAGAAGCAGAGGTTACATCTGAAGTAACTGAGAGAGAGCTTGAGCTTGAAGCCCAACTGGTTGAGGCTAGGAGCATAATCCAAGAGCAGGTCTCGTTCTTTTACTCTTATGCATCAGAAATTAGATGTAAGGCAATCTACGTGTTAATTGGATACAGATTAAATGAATTTTCTTTGAATGAATCTTTCAATGCTTTATACAAGACGTCCCATCTTTCTTAATGACAGGACGCGTTGAGAAAAACCTCAGTTCCACTTCAACTTTGATCCAATTTAATGACAGGGTTGAATATTTACAGTACAGAATGGGCCTTGCCCAAAATTTTGCTACTTCAAACCTAAATCAAAGTGATAAACCAATGCGAGACTATAAACCTAAAGTGTAAGATCTAAATGATGATTCTACAACCCTAAAATAATCAACCATGTCAATGAATGAGTTTAAAGTCGAAGAAAATTGAGTGGAGGCGAGATTTTCTCAATGCGTCCTGCCTTTAAGAAATATGGGTTTAGGGGGTATAGAGAATAACTGGACTCGTGCCAGATATTCGGCTTATTAGTTGCCAGGCTGTGAATCATGACCCCTCATTCAAACATGATTCTACCTAATCAACAATTTTGATCTGCAGTCAGACAAGGTAACATGTTAGGTTGTTTGACATCTTATGCATTGATTATTTGTCAAGTGATTGTCGTAGACCATGCTTATATGGACTTCTCCATCTCCTCTTGTATCCCTTACCTCTTTAGTTAAATAAGTTTTAATTTCCTATATATATATATATATATATATTTATTTATTTATATATCTTTCTAAAAATTTTTGTTTGTAGCGTTACCAGAAAAGTGCACAAAGTTGCAACTTTCTAAGGAGTTGAATCTCCAAGTTTTAATCATGTTGCTTCAAATCCTAGAATTGCCTTGAAATTTTTTATCCCTGTACCCTGTTCAATGATGTCCTCTTCTTGCCTTTCAATTTGTGCAAGTAGAGTGCACTAATCCATCTACCAGTGCAGTGATGTAATTCTGCTGTTTATTATGTTTTTGGTTCAGGAATAAATATAGAGAATTGGTTTTGTTGCAGGCATCCATAATGTCTAAACAATTGGCCAAGTCTGAGAGACCGAGGTATTCCCCTTCTCCCTTTTAATCTCTATGTGAAGTAGACATTTATATGGTTATATGTATTCATGCAGGAATCTGAATGGCCATTTTAATTCTGGCAGGGAGTCTATCATTTCATCTCCCGCTGAGGTAAAACTAAGATATTTATGCAATTTGTTTTGTAATTTCTGTGTTTTAATGAAATTGAGCTCCCAGGGTAGATAACTATCTCTAAAATTTACAGTTTAAGGATAGCCTTAGATAATGGCATGCCTCGAATATCAAGTCTACCTTGGAAATCCTAGGAGAGTGTGTGGGTTTGAAAATGGTCATTTAGGTTCCTAGAAGAAAAAAGGTCATTTAGGTTTTTCATATTCACATATATTGCGTACATTTTATCTGACTAATTTTACAAGTTATTCCCTGTTCCCTTTGAATCTTAATGGTTTTATGTATGAATTTGAAAACCCCATAATGAGGTACCATTCAACATCCGACCCAAAAAAGAAGTGAGCTATCAAATATGAAATGCTAGCAGTATTGGTCTGATTTTCTTCTTGATTGATGTTCAGGGGGTAAGAAATTAACCAGCTTGGTCCCACCCAAAATTTGTAGCGCCAATGTTAAAGATTATTTGAAGTTGGCTGTATGCTGAGATGAATGGCAGCAAGCATCTGAGCTATTGTAGATTTATTTCTGACCAGAGCACCCAGAACAGATATTTCAGTATGTATAACCTAGAAGACTTATCTGTATTGCCAGTGTAATTATTATCTAGCTTTTCTTATGAATATATGTTTAAACCAGTTCTAGTCCAGTTTTATTTATCCTTAATATTATCCTATCTTTACTTTCTGCATGTTCTTACGTAGTTCTTTCTCAACTGTTCTTATCCTACAGACTTTTTCTTCAATTTGGATCTACGGCCTTTTTACATCCCCGACTAGACTTGTCAGTTGATCGGATTTTGATTTGAGTTTGAAAAGTTAATAGGGTAACAGATTGAGATTTTCAGTCCTATAATCTAATCATGATCTGAATCCGATAACATGTTGACTTAAAAAAATCAAAACCATTTCCTCTTCATATGAAATTTTGAATTTTTATTTTAGTGGTTGCTTCTTAATACACTGCGTAGCAATTGGGTTTTAACATCACCTATATTAGTGGAGAGATTTATGGGATGACAGAGGAACATCTGTTTTTGTAGTCAACAAGTCTAATGAGTGGAATCCAGTTACTTAGTAAAGTTTGGTTAACTACTTCCTGTCTAATTTCAATTAATTAATGTAATTAATCATTCTGTCTTTCCCAAACATCGAATATAAAATGCAAGAAAAACAAAACATGCAAAGTCAACTTCATACGTGATTTTATGGTCGGTTCATTGAATCAAAGGTCCTACCCAATGCTACTCTGTTTCTTCAAAACTAGGAAGCCATAATCCTAGTAGGAAAAATAAAAAAAAGGCCAACGGAGTCTAGCACAGTGGAAATGGTTTAACTTGTAAATCAGTGGTCTCAAGTTCGAACCCCCATGACAACATTGATGACAACGTATGAGAAAACTATCACCCCCTTATATTGCTTGTATAAAAATAAAAATAAAACAAAATAGGGGCACTTCTTACCTTCTAGATTTCCAAGATGGTGTGGCACTTTCTCATCCCAAGAAGTGGTCGAACTGGTCGATTTTATTTTGGTATATATTAATGCATGAAGTGGTAAATAAGAAGCAAAGGTAGACTTGTCTTAAGGGTTTGGTAATTGCACATGCACAACAGGCCCCCCAACACAGCCAGAATTGATGCATATGTTTAACGTAAGCTTAAGAAGAAAGATAAATTTCCTTTTTCTCCATGGTTTGCTTGCCAAAATCATATTCATATGCCAATATTCAAGTCACTCGAAAGACAAGTAACAAATTAAATCACAAGTAACTGAAACTAAACCTGCTTTAGATTGTCAATCAATCATCAAAACAACAGGATCATGCACCCCCAAGACACCATCACATGCCTTCAAAGCCGGATTCAAATCCCTCTCTCTATATATTTATACACAACTCTTCCCATTAATTAACTCATAACTTTTCATAATTGCCGAAACAGTACCCAGAAAAATCAAACTCTGAGAACACACCCAAAACCGATGGATTTTGAGCTTCGAAGGAAGATGGAGATCAAAGGAGTTTCAGTACCTGGAGGGGTTGATCAAGAGCTTTTGTTCAACAGAAACCTATCAAGAAACCCCTCAGTGGGTTGCTCTTCTAGGATTTATTACTGCAGAAGCAGTGAAGGGGTTCCATTCAATTGGGAAATGCAGCCAGGGACACCAAGAAACCCCCCCAAAGAAGAAGCAATTCCACCAATAAGTCCCCCCCCAGCTGCGGTCAGCTTAGGGCTGCCCAAACCCTACATGGATCAACAGCCAAACAAAAGGCCTCCAACAAGTCCACTACCCAGGCTCAAGTTTTGGAGAAAAAGTAAGAAAAACAAACAACGTAAGAACAATGTTAATGACAACGTTAATTATGTGGTTGGGGGGTCAGATAAGTTTGATAAGGTGGAGTTTTGTAGCTCTGACACTGAGTTCATGGCATCAACTTCGCCTCTGAACTCGAGCTCTTCGTCTTCGTCCTCCTTCTCGAAAGGTCGGCTTTCGAGGCAGTGCTCGAGTTTGCAGAGCACTCAGGCAAGGGAGTCTTTCAGCAGTTCTGGTCATTTCAGCTGCAGTCCTTGGAAGTTTAGCTCTGTCCTTATTAGCATTGCAAGGCGAGTTTGATGCAGTATAAATTTGTGTCATTGAGTTTTGCATTATGCTTTGTAATATATATGTATTAAATTAATCTTTTTTAGTAAGATTCTTAATTAAATCCTGACTCACTCAGTTTTTAGCCGTTAATTAGATCATAGATATCAACGGTATTGTACGGTAGTACTATAGTACTGTAATACATGTTATAATATGGATGGACTATAATGTTAGAATTTCTCACTTTTTAAGGTATAGTATCAATAAATATACAAAGAACTTTTACCTATTACTTACGGGATGAATAATGATATGAAAAGTTAATTAAATTCTAACTTTCTCGGTTCTTAGCAATTAATTAGATCATAGATATGAACGGTTAATGAGATATATAGCGATAATGATATGCTATTTATATCTTATTTTTTGCTTATTCCCCTGAGACAATTAATCCACACCAATTTTGCCAAAGAGAGCAAACACATGAAGATTTCTGAGATTGAGGAAAAAAAATACCACTAGACCAACAACATTGTAAACTTCAAATGTCTTTTTTGTTTTTGTTTTTTGTTATTGAGTAATTTATGATTTCCACCCTAAACTATATGATAGTGTCAATTTACCCCTTCAATGTTTTTTGAGGGCTTTTTGGTCATCTTAAATGTAATTGGTAGAAATATGATGGTAGGGGATAGATCCACCAATTTTATATAGAAAATTGACTGAAGATAAATTGATACTATCAAATTCAATATAGTTAAGGAGAAAGCGGCTGATTACCCCTTTTCTGTTTTTGATTTGGTCAACCTTCAATCTACTTTCCCATTTACATTTCTTGAAGTAAAAAAAAAAAAAAAAGGATGGGAAGACCCTTTTGAAAATTAAAAATGCATTAATCATATGACTTCTCCATTTAGTCAAAACTTGATTTCTGAAAACTTTAAAATCAATTGCAACAAAGCTCTCTCTATTACCTTTTCATGTTTTTGAAGATGGAATTAATAATATTTATTACCTTATCGAAAAAAAAAGATTCGAATTCCCTGCATCATAGACTGTATGGTTAGCTAAGTCGCTATAATTATGCCAGAAATTAGGAATTATAAAAGGTAGAAAAAAAAGAAATTGCAGGCCTGCAAACTAAAAGGTAGAAAAATAAGGAAATTCAAACCAGACATATTATCCCTTTATATTTCATAACATATTTTAAATTTGGAAAGAGACTACAAGTTGCTGATTTAAGTTGTGATTTCTCGGGTTTAATTTCCAGAATATATGTGAAATTGGTATGACTTTTATTTACCTTCCAACTATATGCTGACCTAATTCCTTATATAATAAACATAAATGTGTCAACGTAACAGACTGTTAATTCTCTCAAAAGAAAGCAAAAAAAATCCATGGAGAAATCACCAGCAAAAGGTTCTGATCTCAAAGCCCTTGCAATTTTTCCGGCCAATGAGTTTTTTTACAACAAAATTCTCTCAAGAAACTCATCTGTGGGCAGCAGCTCTTCACGTTCTTATTTCGGTCGTGTGACTGGTTCTGTTCCTTTTCAATGGGAAGCAAAGCCTGGCAAGCCCAAGTTGGAGGCACATGATGAGGAACAACAACAACATCAAAATTTTGATTTTGTGCAAAACCCTCCATTGATTATTGGTCCTCCACCAGCTACACAAAGCCTGAACATGAACAGTTTGCCCTACTCCTCAGGCCCATTCAGCAATTCTAGGGTTTGGTTGTGGAAGAAGTTGAAGAAGACTCACAAGTTGAAGAGGAAGTTGAAGAAGATCAACAAGAATAATGTTGAGGGAAACTTTGATGTCGCTGGGTTGGATCAACTTTATCATCAGGCTGACTTGTGCAAATCTGATGAGGAGATTATGAAATTTGGTTCATATGGCTCATCATCAAGTTCTTGTAATTCTTCATCACTATCATCAACGGCTTCAGCTTCAGGTTCTTCATCATCTAGTTCTACATCTGATCAGAATTTTCGACCCTCGAAGATACAAAGGCTGGCTAGGGGTTTCATCAGATGGGCCTTTTAGGTTATATTATTTTTCATGATTTGTTCATGTGGATTTATCACCAACTTCAGCAACAATGTGCCCTTGGTTTGCCTTTGTTTGATTTTGCATATTAAATCTTAGGTTAATAATGTGTAGGAGTATTCATGTGATGCAATAATGGTGAGAAGGTGATTGAACTTTTGATTTCACCAAAAACTCTATTGTGAAGTCATGATGAGTTTAATTACCAGTGTTGGTACAGTGCAACTATTGAGCCTTGCTGTATGGAAAACCACAACAAAAAAGTTGGATTAATTGGACTACAGAGAATACATAATTGTTGTTATCACATACCGATGTCGTAAATACAGGATTGATTGTTTTTAATCTAGTTTATTTTAGGGAGTTGTTATTGGTACTCCAGAGAAGTCATCATACCTCTAGGGGGAAAAAAAAAAGAGTGATCATATATTCCTCATTTATGTATAAAAACAATTTTCATAAAAGAATAGTGCAAAATAATCTTTTTGGAGTGCCAATAAAAAATTGGGAGTTTCACTAAAACACCCAAAATGGGAACTGAAATTATAAAAAAACCCAACACCCAAAACACTTTATAAACACACCAAAAACCCATCATTACACACATTCAAAACCCATTTATAAACACACCCAAAAATATACAATTGTTGACTTTGGGGTTGATTTTGGGTGTGTTTCTATGTTTAAATAGTATTTGGGTTTTTTTTATGATCTTACTTATCTATCAACAACTAGTGCTTTTATTTTCTCAATTCGTTATATTGACTTAACTCTGAGTGTCTTGAATGATTTTATGAGTGATTATCTTGTTGACTGCAATTGTTACATAAGCTCACTTGTGTAAATGGGTCTTATTTTTGTAGGAAATGTGGCCAATCATATAAACAATATTCATAAATATGTTACATGTAACAATATTCTCTTTTGTTCTTTCTCTCTCTCTTAACAGCTAGGGTTTTGTGTATTCTCCCAACCGTATGTCACATGTAACATTATTTACAATTATGATGCCAATGTGTACTGGATGATAAAAGACACAATAATACTATTTGTATTATATTTACTGAACACTTTGTTGATCACCTTTCTAATAAAGTTGGGTCCCACTAATATATGCAGGACCTACATATATAAGAGAGGTGGTCAGTAATGTGATAAGTAAATATGGTGCAAATAGCAACAACGAGAAAATTAGTAAATGCTTAAAGCCAAAGTATGGAAAGGGGTGAATATACAATGGTCGACCCATTTACACAAGT